CTCAAGACCCCACAGCTCAGGATGGTCTCTGGCTCTCCTCCCTCCCCCAGCTTGTTCTCACTGTTGACAGCAGCTTTTTTTTTCTTTTAAGAAACAAGAAAGTCTTCCCCTCACCTCTGTCATTAGTGTCATTAGCCTCTTCTAAACAGAAGAACTGGGGTTTGATCTGCTCCTTTTACAGGTAGCAGCTGAATAAATATGAGCCTTATTATAGCAATTACCACATAGATAGATGATGCTACTGAAAGGACTGCCAGGAAGGACCCTGAAATGTGGAGGGCTCTCCAAAACCCTCCAAAACCCCAGAAGTGCACAGACATGAAGCCCTGGAAGTGCTGCACTTGGTAACCATCCATGGCTACAAGCAACCACAGCACTTACAACTGCTCTTTATCACAGGGGATAATTCACTCTGGCCACTTCCAGAGAGTGACACACTCCTAACTCTTCCATAAATTTTTCATGGCTTCCCACTAGGGGTGAGCTGGAGACCTCATTAACACATGTTTGGGAACCTTGGCTTTAACCTCACGTGCCAGTCCAGTGACAGGATGTACCAGAGACCACAGAGGTTTGTTCAGGAACCAGGGCAGGACTGTGGGAGCTGAAGGCAGGTTCCCTCCCCTCCTCAGAGCCACCTGCACCTCCTCACACAGCAATGAAACCCTCCCTCTCATACCTGACTGCAGCTACCTGGGTCAGGGCAGGTCTACAAATAACACTCTGGTATTCATGAGAATCACATTCCCTGCATGGGGAAGACATCTGGATTTATAAAGGTTGTTTCTTCCCAGTTGGAAACTAATTCCTTTTGCTCTGCATTTGGGGGGGAAAACTTCAATTTTAATCTGCTTGCTGGGTTTCCATAGAGCCCTCAATTGTCACTTATCAGACCTGCTCGTTTCCCTCTTCCACCAACATGATCTTGCTTTTTTTTTTTTAAATAGTAGGCTTTAAAATAAGACACAGCACCCTGCAAAGCAGAGAGGATATTCATGGAGTGCTTTTAAGAAGCTCATGCCAGGCTGATGGATGTGGTATGACGAACCTAGAGGCGTGATGGAAAAAGTAAATGGCAGATCCCAAAATGCAGGGGTGGAGTGGAAGAATGGGAAATGGTGCCTTGATTTGCCAAAGTGTTTCTGTTAAAGAGTATTAATCTCTTCAGACAATCCACGGAAAGGCCCTGTAGCAATATCATATTAAATTAATAGAGTCCCATCATTATGGTAACCTCAGCTCAGTTTTGTAAGATGTATAGTGTCATCATACCAAAGAAGAGTCCCTGCATAATTCTGCTCCCACAGCAATTGCTGCTGCTAAATGACACTGACAGGACAATCCTCAGCATTTTGGGTGCCTGTCTGTCTCACAGGGGGCTTTCCTCTGGCACTGCAGGTGCCCAAGAGCAGCCTCACAAGTTGTACGATTCCGTTTGAGCACCAAAGACTTCCCCACCACCAGAAAATATACATTTATGACCTGCCCCTAGAATAAATCTCTATCACAAGCAGCCAGATTATCAATTAAATGCACAGCCCCTCCCAACAGCACTGGCCACCACAGAGCTCCTGAGGTGTTGGCAGAGGGGGTCAGAGGCTCTGGTACCTCCAAAACCAGAGCCAGGGAACACAGCCATCCTAAGCCTCCGGGGGTTGTGCTGATCTGGCTCCCAAACCACAAAAATTATCATTCCAAACCAGGAAAGACCACAACAGCCAGGGAAATTATACACAGATTACAGAAGGGAAACTAAGAAAACAATCCCAGCCTTCACACAACTGAAGTCTTTCTCTGTTCCCTCATTCTGCACTTCTGCAACATAAACTGTCCACACCTCTTTCCACCTCCCCTCTCCCCCCAGTCCACAGAAAATCTGAGTAACATGAACTTGTACAAGTGGCTTTTCACTAGTAAAGCTGAAAGTTAAATCAGCAGTCTCAGGAAGCTGGATGGCAGCTTAAAACACCCAACAGTGAGAGAAACAAGCAGTGAATGAGCAGAGTTTGACACAGCAGAACTGGCACTCCTCAGCCAGGTGCCTCTTCCACTAGTGAGAGACAGTGGCAAAACTACCAAAAACCACCTGCAAGGTTTCCCTCTTACCCTGCATTTGGAGCCAGACAGAAGTGCCCAGACAATTGTGGTGCTGCAATGTGTTTATGAAGGATTCCAACCTAAACTGTGCCTTCCAGGAACACAGTTGCTACTCACATGATTTGAATTCAGGGGATTAAATCTGTCCCTCGCAGCTCAGGCTCAGAAGGGCTGGGAAGCTGCTCCAGCAGCCAGAAGAACCTCGGTGTCTCCTGCACCCACCACCCTAAATGGCCATACTGCTGGAAACTAGCTTCCCAAAAATCTTCAGATACAGGCTTGAGGGGGAAGGGGGGAAAAAAGTTCCCAACTATCTCTAGACATGCCACTGCACCTCCAGAAATCTGCACGATTGGCTGCAGTGTGCCTGAGAGTGCACAGAGCAGCCCCTGCAGCAGCCCAGGGGATGTACAGATGATTACTAATTGCAGACACCCTGCACTAATTGCAGACACCTTGTACTACAGCATGTCTTTGCAACCTGCCACGGCCCAGCTGAACATCAGCCTGACTGTCTCCAAGATGCTCATGGCTGCCTTTGACTGTTGCTTCACACACAAAGAGTTTTAATGCCTCCCCAGCATAAGCATAAAAAGAATGGGTCTGAGTTTGTCCAAAATGAGCAATCAAGAGGGAGAGTTATTTGGTAATTTGCATCATTATCTCTGTCTGCTGCTGCATCTTTGCTGACAGCTTGGTTTTAAGCACTGGAATCCAGCTTAGGAGTCTTTCAAAACAAAGCAACCCTCTTGCTGCCATGGCTACTTGTCTGGGGAGCTTGGCAAGGAAAGAAGAAATGCATGTGCAAGCACTGGGAGTCACTGTCCTATTTCCAGCCCAGCAAGCCGGGTGTAGCACCATGAATTAACTGCCTCCCTGCTTTCCAAAAGCGAGAGCCTTTTTCAGGTCACCTCTCAAATTTAATCAATGTCAAAGTATTTCTAGAAGCTGAGGGCACGTCAGCATGCTCACTGGCTGAAGGAATATGGACTTCCCAGCAGTTAAGCCACATCAGGATCCAGCATCTGATGCAGGATGCACCGTGTTGATTTTGCACTGTCAGGTGTTCCCGTGCACATGGACCAGCAAACTGCATCTTATTCCCTCAGCAGGGGCTTCCTCTTGCACGATCAACACACAGTTTCTCCTGCTGATTTCCAGTCTTAGGACACTTAAACAAACAACAAGATTTTCCCCTTCCCTCCAAAAGGAACACAGTAATTAAAAAAAAAAAAACACAACAAAAGCAGAACTCACTTTTTCACCGTGGTCCATTCTGCACCAGAAGCAAGAGGCCTCACAGCAACAGGAGAACTTCACTTCTCTCCCCCTCACCTGCCCTCTCCTCCTGCAACCACCACTCTCCCCTCCCACAGCTGCCCCCCATCACACACATCAAGGCTTTCACCAATCCTGGGCCTTCTTCTGCCACAACCCAAATGCCCTCCCTTCCCCAGCTGGCTGCTCCAGGTGATTTCAATAATTAACCCCCCCTCCAGCAAACAGGTCCAGCTCTGCTCCCAGCCTGGAGAAGGGGAACATGTTCACCCAGCACTGTCTCCTTTTGAGGAAACAGGGCCACTTCAGCATGCTCACATTTTTATCCTTTACAACTGGGAGTCACTGAGCTTCTCAGATGAAAGGCTCTCCTCTAAGTGCAAATTATTATTAATGAATTTCCATCTTGGCTCCTTGACAGAAAGAGGTACCTTGGAGCATGTTATCTTTGCAGCCATGCACCCCTGGCACTCGCAGATTCCCTCGCCTGGCAAGTGAGGCACAGTGACAGGAGGGATGCTCAGGCAGCTCTCTGTGCCCCATCCCAGTGCCTCTGTAACAGCAAAGTTTCAGAAATGTAAATCCTGGCATTTGACCCAATGCGAATTTCTCAAATACACGATATTTCACACCCCAGTGGTTTCCTCCCTGCTGAGACGATCATTTATGGTGGCTCACTCAGAACTGGGCTTTGACAGAATTTTTTGGTCAGCGGAAGACAAATTGAAAAATTTCAGTCTCTGCCTCTGAAGCACCATGTCCTGCAGCTTCAGAAAAATTAAATGCAAAGGCAGGGCTGAGTTTTTCCCTTTTTTTTTACCTCCCTCTGCTGTCTCTTCAAATACAGCCTGTCCTCCTCTGCAAAGACCATGCAATTTTGACACCATGCTCCTGTCCTGGGTTCCTGAGGGTCCCATCCCTTGTACGTGCTGTGTACCAGGGCTGAGCAACACATGAACAAGCCTTCCTAAAAATGCACTTGGAACAATCGCATTTGGTGCTAGCACAGCGTGTTATTTTTGCTTGAATACTGTATTTCTTGCTCCTCTGCTGTCGTATTTTGCAGCTCTGTGCTGTAAATGCCTTCTTCACCTCAGAGACACCTGTGCTCCCCCAGGAAGATGCACGGATCCCTGAGGTGTGGCTGATGCATCGCTGTGCTCAGCTTGTAAAGCAGCTGGGGGTCCCTCTGGGACTGAGGGTGCTTTGTACATGTCAGTTGTGATTCAGTGAAACCTGCTTCCGTCTGAACCCGCCGTATCAATCAGAGAAGCCACGTAATTAATTATGACTGGGCTGCACGAACGTTGCACACATGGGGAGCCCGAGTGCTGGAGCTGCTCGTGCTGATGGTGGGCACGAGGATGAACAAGATGAATAGTGACACTGCCCTGAACTGTGCCTGGCTGCTGTCTTCTCCTGCCATCCATCATCATCACCACACGTTGGCTGGGAAGGGGAAGCACTTCACAAAAGGAAGGGTCAGGGCAGCGAAAAAACTCTCATACGTCTCTATTCTCTCCTCAGAAAGCAGCTTAAACCGTGTTTCTGTTGGGCAGTGGATGCAGTTATTTGAACACAGAAATGACAGCAGGAGCCCCCTCCCCTCAGGAAAGAGAGGTTAATTTGTCAAGCCATGTAAAGCATTTTAATTACAATTCGTATAACATGTATAAATAAATATTACATTCTTTCAGTCTACAATGCATACTAGGCATATCTTGTTAAAATGTCCATCTATGTTACTGGGTGGCAGGATTGATTTTGTCCAAGTAAAAAAAAAAACAAACTACTGAGTTTAGTAATCAAAAAAAACCCCAAAACAACGAAATACATGGTAAAGACAGGACAATGCAAGTGCTTCGGCTAACAGTCAGGACATAATACTGCTTTCCAAAGGCTGGGTACACCATCTTCCTTTTAGTTAGGAGAGGTTTTGGATGACAGTGGTTTCCTCATTGTATAGATTTTGATCTGTGTCCTCCATTAATGGGAACTGGCACTGAGTCAACACAGTTCTGCCAGTTTACACCACGAATTAAAACTCTATTTTGTATTTGCTTCCGATTTATTACTGGGTCGGTATTTGTTTATTCAAAACATCAGCTTTACAATCTAGTCTAAAACTTTCAGTCTTAGCTGGTCCAATGGCAAAAAAAAAAGAAAAATAAAAAAAATCTATAAAATAGCTCCAGGTATTTCTTGGTCTTGCTTCAGCAATATTCCCCTCCCTCCCCCCCAACAGTCTGTCCAGAGGCCAGCTCTCCCAGTACAAGAAATAAAAGTTTGGGGGCAATCAGTGTCTTTCTGTCCACTCTTCTTCTGGCTTTCAGAGCTTGATGAGAGCTGGTGGCATTAGAATAAACAGAAAATTACAGCACAAAATTATAGAATTCATGAACTTGGCAAAAAAAACCCCAAAACAAACAAAATCCAGGCTGTACATATTTGGCCTGTGATGGTCTCAGTTCCAGGTACATTTAAAATGCACCAGTGGGGAGCTCCCATCCTTGATACTTCTAAAAGCTAAAATAAAACAGCACCTTCTTCCCTTGGTGAAACGTAGGAACTTTGGTTGTGGAAATTTAAAACGAGCAACTAAAGAAACAATCCAAACCTGAAAGGAAAATTAATACTTCTTCCAAACAGAACATCTTTCTAGCTAAGGGTGAAATGGAGGCTTAAGCTTTCAGAAGAGACACCACATGGAAATTATTAGTCAATACTTATCCCTTGAATTCTTTAAATGACAGGAGACTATTTATAGCTGATTTGTATATTCTTGGCCCACTGCGAACTTAAAGAATTTTAAATCTTCCTGTTTTCAGGATATTTAAAAGAAAAATACAAGAGGGAAAATTATTCTGTTTCAATTTACAAGACAACGGAAAGGTAAAAATAAAAATACCAGGTAATTTCTTCCTCCTTCACGTGTAGTGCCAAAGACACATCTTCACTTCAAATGAAGGAATAAAAAGAAATGGCTCGAGTAACAATCTAAAAAGTCTCCTTGTGGGTCGTATGCCCATAATTGTGATGTTTTACTGGAAATAGAAAAAGTTATTGTTTGTCTCTTGCTTGTTCTTTTCATGCTCTTATATTCTCTCATTTCTTTTTGCAGATATTTTTTGGTACTTTGAAACAATACTGTCATTATTATTTGTATGACCCATAAAAATGAATTTTCACAACCTCATCTTGCCCAGTTCATCATATTGGTCACACCATTTCCTTGTTCCTTTCTGCTATTTAGATCCCATTTCCTAAATCCACAAGTAGCAGAAGAACCACTGGAAAAAAACCAAAATAAAGCGGAAAAAAAAAACCTCCAAAAACAAACCATGGACAGTTTGGCAAATTTCTTTCCCTGATTATAAAAACTGCCTCATCATTTCTCCTGGTGATCCCTTTCCCCTCCCCCTCTCCTGTCCCAATATATGCTGTAGAACTGAAGGCATCAAGGTGTGGTTAAACCCCCCCCAAAAAAAAAACCCAGCGAGGAGCTACACTTTGTCTTTGAACTTCTCCATGTAGTTTCGTATCTCTTTGGAGTCCCCCAGGTCCATATCCTGGCACACCCACTTAATGTCATCGTCATTGCTGCTCAGGATTGAGTTGACCGTGGGGCAGCCGTCGTCGGGCGGGATGGTTGTGAACGTGGTGAATTTTACCCGCTTCCGTTTGGACGTCGGCGAATGTAAACCTTCAGATTTCTGTTCCTTCCCCGGCTTGCCCCCCGAGTCTGCACACCTGTGGACCTGGCCCTGGATGTTCTTCTGGGCGCTGCCATTGAGGAGCTGGTTGCTCTCCTCGCTGCCCGAGCCCCGGTCAATAATAGTCGTGTGCTCGTCCTGCTGAGGCGACGCGTCTGCCGTGTTCTCCAGCAGTTCCGCCTCGTTCCCCAGCCACACCCAGTCGTGGGAATGGGTCATGGTGGTCTGTCCTTCCACCAGGACCTGCTTGTGGCGGTACTTCAGTGCAAATGTTGCACAGTTTATTAGGAAGACTAGAATCGCCAGGCAGAAGACCCCCAGCAGCGCGTACATCCCGATCTCCAGATCACTAAGGCCCCTGGGTGTCTGCACCAGGTCGCTGTCCTCTACACCCGCGCTGCCCTTGGGGAGGTCCACTTGAGCAGGGAAGTTGGTGAAGTCTATGGGGATGTTCTGCAGCTGGCTGTCGTCCGAGAGTTTGCCGCCGTCCAGCCTGTTGTTTTTGAGGACCTTGTTCTTCAGGATGGATTTTGCCGTGGTGCTGGCCTTCCTGACCGAGCCCTCCTCCCTCTCCGCCGAGGAGCCGCCGTAGAACCGCCCGTCCTGCCCGTAGCGCTCCTGGTCCGACGCCTTGTGCCGCCGGTCGCTCGCGTGGTTCTCGATCTCGTCGGCGTCGTAATCCCCACCTGTGAAGGAACGAGATTCAGGACGGGAGCGGTTCCAGGCGTGGGGAAAGACATACGGCAGTTGACAGGACTTTATTATATGGACTTTACTGTTATTATGTGTGTGAGAAAAATCTCACTTATTAAATTTAGAAAGACGGCAAAAGTTTGCAAAACAAAAGGAATAAAATGAAAAGGAAAAATTAATTACAACACGTGTTGGGTGTCCTAGGCATGCAGGATTCCCAGGAACACGCCTTCCAATTCAAAAGTCCCGCTTTTTAAACATTCTGAAGGTTCAACCCCGTTTATGTCATAGAAGAGGCGTTCCCCTGTCCCTGGTTGGCTGTGTCCTGCTGGGAGCTGGAGTGTCCAGCAGCATGGCAGCTTCCAGGACCAGCCATGTGGTGTAAGGGGTTTCCTTACCAACATTCATTTTGCAGTTCCCTATTCCCATTCACATGTTTCCCTGACACCGGTTCCAGGCTGAATCCGGCGTCTTACAACTCCGCGACACGCCTTATAGGTTAGTAAAGAAAAACTCCTACGTTAGTGATTTGTTTAATTCATTTGCTTGTAATAAAACAGATTCTTTATTTCCCACAATGTGGTTTCATTGTATCCACACTACACAGTGCACAGCCCGGACATGCCCGGGCTTGCCACGAGTTTGCCTGCTCCCTGCTTCCCCGCTCCCCTCTCTGACAGGCTGAAGAAGCTGCAGAGAGGAGACAGTTACCATTTGCCTTTTCCTTCCCCGGTTCCTCCCATGTTCCTCCCCCTTTTGCCTGTGTCCCTACCCCGATTTGTTCCCCTGTTTGTCTGTCTCATGCTCCACCCCATATCCTAGCCCTTTCCCCACGTAGAACCCATAAAACCCCTACACCCCTCAATAAAGCATTCCATTTGCACCTCTACCTTGTCTCCGTGCTGTGTCACGACCCCATCCCTCCCTCAGACCATGGCACCCACCTGCATCAGAGTCTGCGTCGTTCTGGCCAAACTTCACCTTGATGTTGCCACTCCCCACAGCCAGGACGCTCTTCCTCTTGGACTTCTGGCAGGCTTCAGAGATCATCATGTCCACCTTGATCAACGTGCCCTGGCCTTCACCCTCTGCTGCCACAACCGGCCACCTGAAGGCAGCGCTGTGGTGGGTGGAGACGATGCCTTCATCCAGCGACACGGCAGAGAGGGAGAAGTCCTTGGGGTCATAAATGTCCAGGGGAGTAACAGAGCTGTCGCTGAACTGGATCCAGGTGCTCACTACAGCTTCCTGAAAAGAGAGGGGTATGGTTAAAGGCAGGGTCTTAAATAAAACAGCTCAACCCACTGCGGCTCATCAATCCCTCAGCTCGGGATGGCAGCTGGAGGAAATGGAAAATGGTGGCTCTGCACTGAGTTTAAAGCAAACCAAGCTTCAGCTGATGGGGCAGAAAATTGGCCACATTTTTTCACTGAAGGTTCCACTGTTATCCTTCCTGCAAATGTTTTTGCAAAAGAACATATAAAATAATTGATATGAGATGTCCGTGATACCAAAGTGCCCATTAACAAGCTACAGTTTTACATGATTTATAAAGAAAGTAATTCTTGTCATACAAAAGCTGGAAGAAGCAAACCAGAAAAATGACTGGAGGCACTTGACAGAACACTCATTTTCTTCGTGTTCCCCATGCACAGGTGTAATGGGGAGCTGTCAAATTAAGCAGGGCACAAATATCTTGGCAGGAATAAGGAGCTACCAGATTAGCTTGGAGACAGTTGGAGCAGAAGATTCACCTGAAAGAAAAAGACTCAGAAAACAATTGCCATTTTGCTGGTTTTAAGTAAAACATGCTTTATCCTTGAGATAATTAAAAGTCCACTGCATTTTTGTGTCAAGAAGAGGAGGGAGAGAATTCTGGCATGATCTATACAATAAAAATACAAATGGTCTGGATTTAATTGGACTGTCTTTGTTCTCTGCAGGTAGCACTGTTAGAAGTCATCATTAGAAGCAAACACAAAGCCAGAGGTCAGCTCTTTGCCATTTGAAATCCCATCCAGATGATACAGATATTTATTTCTCCACGTCTCAGTAGCTTTCTTTGCAGGAAATTTCTTTAATTTTTTATTTGTTCCATGTCTTGCCTGTTCAGGCAGCAGACAGGCAGGCAGATTGCCCGAGTGCAACTTCCCACAAAAGTGAAGTTCTTTTCTTCCCACACTTAAAACCACAAATGGCCCTAAAAACTTTACACTTGGGTACGTCAGAACAACCGGGCTGAAAATCACCACTGGGGAAAAATATTGCCACCCTCTTAATGTCCAGTCATAATAGAAATTTACAACTCAATATGGATTTCAATTGGCTGCCATTTGTTATGCTATGGTTACAAACAAAGGGAATTGCTACCCTTCCAGTTAAATTTAAAGCTTTTCAGTGAAAACAGCAAGGGGCATTTAGCTGTGCAGAAGGTTGGACCATACTGAATATTTGATTTCCAAAGTGCTATCAGCAAGTTCTCGAGGGGCTGAAAGAAGAAAAATAAGTTGTGGCACAACAGGAAAGAAGGCAAAGTTCTTGGTGATTCAAATGTACTTCAAACAGCTGAAACGGAGCCAGGGTAACTCAGGAACTGGGGAAGCTGAACTGCATAAGGAAATTAAACCAGCTGATCTTTCATTAGACAAACAACCCTGAAATGGCTGAACAGACAGAAACACAAAGCTACAGGGCACAGCTCGAATTTATATCATAGGAATCTACAGCAGAGCAAACCCGGTCATAGGAAAGTAAAGGATTTTTTTTTTTTTTTAATGGGTATGTGTGAATAGGAAAAGATTCATCTCCTCTGGCAATTCAACACTCTGTTGCCTTCCTTCTCCCTAAAACAAGAGGTCAGCCTCGTGTGCCACTGGAGAGGTGTGGAAGATACACTTAACTTTTCATCAACCAAAGGAAGGAAAAAACACCAGCATCATTCCAAGCACATTATCACAACAGGCCTGGCACTGCCTGCCAATGCTGCCCTATTTTGGAGAGCAGAATGAGAAAATAAGTGCAACATTTGCCCAGCTAAGGCTGGAAATTATGAGACCTGTGCCTCCTCCCAGCTCTGCTGGGGACATCCACAACTCCACATCTCTACAAAAGGATTTGCGTCACCAAATCCTTGGTGCATTCCCTGGCAGCCAAACCCAGCACAGCTGGCACTGCAGAGCCCCAGCTATGCAAGCAGGTTTCCTTGGTGGTTCAACAGTATCTTTGAGGGATCTGGAGATTCTGTCCAGACACTGGAGAGGAACACATATGAGAAGCCATATATTCTTCCTTCCTGTCCTCTTCATCCCTGTTAGTTTTTCTTATCTTGATGCCTTTCAGCTTTATCAGCCCTCAGGTACCTTTCATGTGCAGAAGTAGCCAGCATGGAAAAATTCAGCCCAAATGGCCAGAATCCGACAAAGCTGCAAGCAACTTCAAAACAGCTTCTATTCTTTATGCTATTTCTCTACTATTCTGCATTCCCAGTTTTATGAAGCAGAGACAGAGAAAAATGAAGTGGCAGTCAGCTGAAATCTGCAGGCACACATGTGATTTACTGTAGAGAACAGAGGTGTGCAATGGCTTAGCCATTATTTTCAACCAGCACTGACATTTTTTATTTCCAAGAGAGCCTTTCTTCATAGGAAGAACCATTTTTTTCACAACACAACGTTGTCATGCTCAAACCACGGACAGCATTAATTAAAAGGGAAAGAAAACCAATGAGAGAAAGAGGGAGAGAATTTAAAATCCTGCCAAAATATATTGTATCAGCCCAAATATTCTACTTGGCAAGAGATCACCTCCTCTCATTCACATTGTTAAAGGAAAGGCAGAGGCAGGGGAAGGAAGCGAATTTCCAAACGATTATAAATTCTGAAAAGCTAAAAAGAAAAAAAAAAAGAAAAAAATAAATGATTTAGTACCACGTCCTTCAAGGAGCCATTTCTGCAAATCCTATGTACAGCATCAATAAATCCCCTCCCAATCTCTGACAAGGTCCTCCAGTTACTATCAGCAGATGAAGACGGATTGGAGCCTTCTTACCTGCAAAGTTGCTGCCCCTACTCTGATGCCCTCAACACTGAGGTGACAAATGCTTGTGTTCTTTAATTATCAAGCATAAACAAAGAGTTTGAGGGATTATCTTGCTCTCTGGTCTTTCTTTCCTCCACTTTTCCAGTTTCTTCTCTTCACATATGCACACACACACACACACACGTGCTCAGCTGCACTCCCAGAACAAATGGACCACAAAGACACAGCAGTGCCAGTGTTTCCTGGAGAACAGGATGGTCTGTGTGGTGACTGTGATGATGTGAAGTGAGTCAGAAAATGTACATTAGATCATGTTAGTGACAGCAAAATCCAGTCCAAGGGAGATGAAGAAACTACTTCCCACAACCACTGTTCATAATCATCAGGCTTTCATTAAACACATAAAACCCTTCCTTTATCAAGACATCTTTTGAACTAATATTCAACTTGATTTTGTCTACATTTTTCCTTGTGTCTTTGCTGTTCTCTTCCCCCATTCCAGGTGTAACTTCAGCAAGGTGGCCAGCTCTTGATCTGATGGCAGTTCCACCACCCTTTCTGGCCTTGAATCACATGGTGGTTCATCAGTCCAAAGATGCCACTTGATAAATCTTCTTGCATAAACTTGCATTTTGCTTTTTGTTCGTATTTTTATCTCCCTTGTTATCCACTTGTAATGTTTAGGTGGGTAAAACAAAGGGGAAAATTACAAGGATAGAAAAGTAACATGGCACTAATGGAAACCAACATTCCCAGAGGAACTTTGTATTTTCTGACCTGAAATGCTCCAAAGCCTGCCATGAGTCACCATAAACACTGTTTTTTGCTGGCTGTGTCTGTTCCACCTAGATGAAACAGGGAGGTTCACACACCAAAAGGCAACCTGAATGCAGGGAGCAGAGCTGGTTTGGAAGCTCAGCAGAAAGCCCATCAACCAGAGATCTAATGAGTTCCTCCATGCTGGGACTTGCATGAGTTGCCTCTGGAAATCTGGGAGCCACAGTGACGATTCTTTTTCCCTCTAAAGCATCAGAGAGCATTTGAAAGTCTGCTTATCTCAGGATGTTCCACTGAGCCCATCTGCAGCATCACTGTCAGTGACTGCAGTGTCCTTCAACACCCCCACACCAGGACTGTCTCATGCTTCAAGCAAAAAATAGGGGAATGAAGTTTATAGGACTGGTTCCATTTTAGAGAATCCTGCTGCTTAGAAACACAGATGTGAAGATTGATCAGTATATTTGATTTTATTCCATGCTCAGAATGAAGAGGCCTTTTAATGGTCTTTATTCACTACAGCACGAATAAAAGTATTCGTGGATAAGCCCTCAATTGCTGGGGTCAGCTGCAACAGTCCTGGAGAGAGACAGGACACCAAAGGGAAGAAATGGATGGCTCTGCAGAAAACAAATACATCCCTCCCTCAAATAAAGGCAAGGGGATACTGTTCTCAGCAGCTTGTATCAGACCAGCTCTGATTGTTCTGTCTGGGGACTGGAATGCTGAAATGGATTTCCCTCGCAGTTTTATCACATGAAATATCAAAGTATTACATGTGCATTTATTTTTAAGCCTGTGGCTTGTGTAGTAAAAATTGGGCTTGATGGTTATGATGTGGAAATGAAAGGCAGCCAAGACTCAGATCTTAATTCAAACCATGCATTCCCCCACTGTGTATTTCTTTCTCTCCTTTTTGTCCAATCTGCTAATGTGACATTCCTTTCCAGTGGGAATTTGCTTGTATTTGCAAGAGAATTCAGATTCTTATCTAACAATACATCCTTTCTCCTTTTCCCATGCTGCTTAATTCCTTTGTCATTCTTGTGAGCCATTACATTGCTCTGTCAGTTTAAAGAAGACATAAATACAATTTAAGTGTAACTTATACTGCCAGGATGGGGTAATGAATCCACACCATAAAAATACTCCTAATGTCTGTTACTTAACTGTGAGGTGTCAGTGAATTATCAGAACAGGTTTGCATGAAGGACATAAGCTAAAACAGGCAATCCAAAAGGCAGGGACATGGGAATAACTCCAGCTTGTCACCCTGGCCCAGGTGGTGCTGAGCACCCTCGTGTCCCATCAGAGTGAGGACAGACATCCATATCCTCAGGGTTGGATCGTGCCACTGATGTCAACAGGCACCACACCTGAAACAGAAGAACTTGGCCTCTAGAAAGCACTAACATCGTTCTTTGTCCCTAAGAAAATGTCTGCAGTTTGTTGGTAGCACTGGGAGATACATTAATACACAGAGCTGATTATCAAAGGGGTTTTTTTATTTCTTCACTGGCCCATTTAAGTTCATCAGACCCCATTCAACACCCTACAGCAACAAAAAAAATGGATATAACTGTGGGTTTCCCTGCAGAGCCAGCTGAGATTTGAGAGTTCTTGACGCTCACTTAAATCAGAAAACACTTAAACACTGTAGGGTTTCTTTTATTTACATTTTGGAGAAGCCTTTATGGTAACAGTGCTGATTTTAACAACCATCAGCAAGCCAAATGGAACAGCTTTCCTACCTGAGCAGATGGCCACTAAAAATAGATTACTCACAGCTACAGTTTCCAAATATTTAGAAGATACTTCATCTTTGATATTTAAAAGTTGGTCAACCTGTGTCTACATTTAGGCACCTAAATCAGTGATCCACTTCTCAGTGCTGATGAGTTCCCCACTGATTAAAAAAAAAAGTATGGGCTCAGAATCTTTCAAGGTCACCTTGTCACAGCAGGTAATTAGTTGCCCAGCTATAGATAAAGATATCTAATTTCAGGCATCCAAGATAAAAAAAAAAAAAGAGCTTATCTTCTTTAGATTGCTGAGTATTTGGAGAAACTGCCAACTTTTCAGGACTTGTGTTTTGGCTGCTTTGTGCTACTTATGCAGAACATGTTGTGGTCATTATAATCAAGGAACTAATCTAGTCATTATAGTCACTGAAAGAAAGCCACGGCAAAAACTCTGAATTCACTCCTAGGATATTGAAAGATCCAGAATAGTACAATGTGTGTGATGTTTTATGCCTGGCACTGCACTCCACAGATGCACTGCTGACTGTGCTGGGGACAATACTGAGCCTGCCACAGCTCCAATTCCCCAAGGGCATTTGCTAGGCTGTGCTGGAGCTTGGCTGTTGGAGGTTCTAAAGTGGAGCTAAAGGAAAACAGTTGACTAAGAACACATTGATGTTTTTTCCATATGACAACGCTGAGACAAACACAATCATTCCTGAGAAAAATAAAACCTTCAGCTGTCTCAACTGTTATTTTTTCAGTTGCATCAGTAAGGTTTGCATGAGTTATCTTGGCCTTTTTTATAAACTTGTTTGAGAGGAATAGACACACAACCAATGAAGTCCTCACAACATTCAAGTATATGCTTAGTTCTGGGCTGTCTCCTTGGAAAAAACCCTTTCAAAAGGGCTTGATTTTCACAACACACTCAGCATTTGCCTTCAGAATTCCAGCTCCAAAAAGATCTCAGCTGATACACTCCAAATCATGAGTCACTTCTTGCAAAATTTAGCCACAAGCATTCCTACATTTGCATTAATTTTTCTAAGGGAAAGTGACTTAAATGTTATATCCTTCATTCAAACTGCAAATGAAAGGAAAAGATGTCTGTGACTCCTGTGCTATTTCCTTTAACACAGTGTGAAATCTATTCCTGTCTTATTTTTTGGGTGATGCAGATGCAAAGTCTTTTCAACAGCCCCTCCTTGGGCAAGCCCTGTCTATAGGCTGAGTAAGGTTTAGGCTTGAGAACAAATGAGTGGCTTACAATAGGTAGAAAGTGAATTGTGCAGTGTGTGGGATCACTTCAGGCCTCCAGGACAAAGGCACAAAGTGCCCCAGAAACCAGGGACTGTGCTCAGGACCCTCAGTGACCCAGCACGACCAGGGTCAGGACTTCAGCTGGAACTGACCCTCACAAATTCCCAAAGGGAGGAGTGATGCTCCCAGCAAAGCCTTTCACAGGGGAAGAGGCAGGACACTTCTCTCTCTCTGGGTGAGGAGGAGGTGGTGGGAAGGCAGGCAGAGGCAATGGGGGTGGGCAGGCTCCAGACTGGAGGGGCTGGGAGGAGATGCAGAGCCTGAAGTGGGAATCCACAAGAACATGCTGCTCTGGGTGTGCAGGAAACTGTGACAGAAGGCACCGAGCACAGAAAGAGTGGGTAAACCTAATTTGGGACCACTACTAACAACCAGATTTCCTTGAGCATCCCAGATCCTGCTGTGGAGAAGGCTTTCCACTGCCTTCTAATAGAGTCTAGGTTTTGGGCTTTTTTTCCAGATGGAGTCTGGAGAAGAAACAAGAGATTTTTGACTTCTATAACTGAGAAAAAGGTGCTTGACTGTCTTTGGCCTCCTGTTTTAGAGTTGGTGTCTTCACCATAGTGTGAACAGCAGGCCCAGGATGAGGTCAGCAGGACAGTAGCACTGCCCAGCAGCCCTGTCCAGTTCTGAGGATTGCTCAGAAGCAAAGCCTGGCATGCCCAGTCACTTCTGTATCAGAAATGTGCCACCCTGAGGATCCTGAAATGGTCTCACAGAGGAACATCAGCTTAAACAAAATATTTCACTAAAATTGTTTCATAACACAGATGCTGAGAAAAATAATTTCAGAGCAAACCACATTTACACATTTTTACTCTTCTGTATTCCTTCATAACTTGCCAATTGAAGTGATACATAATGACATGTCACATCATCCTGCCAGGCCATGAACAACAGGAGAAGTCATGATGTGCACTACTGAAATGCCCCAGCTCAATATGGCATAACCTGATGTTGATAAATATCTTTACATACTCAGGACAGATAATCTGTGTATCTGAGAAGCTGATAAAACACCTGGGCAGCCTTTCCAGGTTCACAAGCTCTTTTATCTGCAATCAAAGCCATGATTCTTCCAATGCTGCTGCAGGACTAATGGTGCTGTGTCCTACAGAACAGGATTGGGTTAGGAAGGCTTCAGTTTTTCTTTTTACAGCCTTTATCTGAAGACAATGTGTCAGATGTGGTTTTCTAAGCCCTGAAAAAGGGTATAAATGGGTTAATTACATCTTATGTTTACAGGATGCAGTAAATGGAACAGATGGGCAACGTGTCCTTCTAGTTTGGACATTTTCCTGTCACTAAGTTATAAAACAAACTAAATTATTTTTATGTTGCAGAAAATTAGGTAGCAATTATCATGAAAATGGGCCATAAAACTTGACTTGAGATCTCTCCCTGTCTACGTGAGATGAAAAGAAGTTTCTGCAAGAGGAGTAGCTGTGGACAGACTTAATTGCACCGTCCTCAGTCCCAACCTTCAAATCAACTGACTGAAACAGAGCTTGTTCCACTGCTACTGACCCTTGGATTTAATCTGTGTCAGAGTGACTGTTTGACTTGATTTGGTGGTGCTCTCCAATATTCTTTTCCACTGGGGTTGTGACCTGAAACACGCTGTTTGAAAGACCCCCTCTACAGAGATGGGAATTTGCTGGCTAAATTAAGTAGGATCAGCACATGAACTGGATGATGAACCCCCCAAAATCCATATCAAAAATCAGTAAGGAGCCTGGCAGCCTGTCACGACTCCAGGAGGGAAAATAAATTTATCTGGCCATCTTCTGCCTCTATTTTACAGCTCTTCAAAACATTAAATTGCGACACACAGAACTCTGTGCTCTCAGGCATGGAAAACAAGGGCATGTTCACACAGCAAACCAGGATCACTGTCCAGAGACTGCCTGTGCAGCAAAAATAACTGATGTCCACTATTTAAAGAAAGGGTATTAAAATATAAATATTCAGTGTAGTTAGAACTTTTACTGCAGACAAAGTCTGTATTTGAAGGGAAGAAATGAGAAGGCAATTCCAGAATATCTCTAGAGCAAAGCAATTAACATGGACACGGACCACACCTACATTTTAAAGCCTAATTTCTAAACTTGTTATGAATTATATATATTATATTTACATTGGTAAAACACTGCCCCATGCCAAAAGGGAACAACAGTAAATACAGAGCGTGCACTACCTGCTTAGGAGTGTGAAGCAACTCTTGGGCAACAGTTGTAGCCACGATAGCCCGACTGCTGGCAGCACTCGGCTGGAGGAACAGTGAAAGCCCAGACACCAGCTGCACCCCAAGGTCTGTTATGGTCACTTTGTCATCCAGCACAGTCACTGTCTTCTCTGCCAGGATGGAGTCAGACAGAGGAGACAAAACCTTTGGAGAAACACAAAAGAACCAACTTAGGAAAAGGCCGATCAATCAAAACAACCTTTCTTAAGGTTATTTCAGGGTCGTCATCCCTTCTTGTCTCCAGAGCTTCATGCACAGGGAAGAACGGCAGAGCACACTGAAAAGGCAGTCTGACTTCATTAGCAGGGCTGGAAAAACATCAGTGGAGAGGTTCTGGCTGAGAACATTGCATCCAACACTGACAGCCATCCTATCCCACGTGTCTCATTTGCATCATTTTACCAGCAGAGCTGATTTAAAACTTCCTTGCCCTGTTATTGTGTGTGCCCATGTGAATGAGCTCATCAGACTTCCCGACTGCTTCAAAGGGAGGTTAGAAACACCTGGGATTTGTCCTTCACTTCTTGGCTTGGAAATTCTTGTTTGTCTATTTTTCTGTTTCTGATGGAACATTAAGGTGGTAGGATATCCTTCCCTTTAAAGAAGGGTCAGGCTGCTGTCTTTAGGGAACCAAGGATAGCCAGTTCATGCACATACTGACTTCTCCACCTTCCTCATCTCATATCTACAGCCTAGATTGGCTGTGTTCACTCTTAATGCACTGGCTTTAGTAAGGGTTCAGCTGGGGCAGAACTGGGTGTTGGCCACTTGTGCCTTTCAGGGTTATTAACCAGGCTGCACTTTTTTTCCCCTGAATTAATGTTTAAATAAATAAAATTAAACTTGGTACAATCCAAAGATCCCTGTCTCAAAAAGTCAAAACTGTGCCCATCAGCTGACTGGTGACAACCTGCACCCACACGGGGAAAGAGCTCTCTGACTTCTCACTGAGCCTGGAAATGCTGCCTCTCCTAAACATCTCTGAAGGCTCTATGGCTTCCAGCTCCATGCCTTGGACCACCTCTAGCTTGGATCACTATTGTTGGGTCAATGCTGTGTGTGACACTCTAGGAGGTCATGGGAATGTAATGGGAGATGACTCTGTTCCAAGAGAGCAGAGATACACCTCATGGAGGTTCTCTGTGGGAATGGCAGAACGTGGCAGTCACAGAATCATCAAGAATCACCATCCAGAGCACGGTACCTGCATGGTCGTCATTCCCACTTCCCTTCCAATCAAGATCCTGCCCTCCTGCAGCTTGGCAATGTGAGGATCCTCCAGCTTCATAAAATCCACCACCAGGTCTGTGATGTCAAACTGCCAGTCTGAGCCCAGCAGGTAGCTCAGCTGGCCCCAGGGGCTGGAATCCTCAGCCACGAACTGGGTGAGGACCCGCACCATGGCGTGCTGGTACTGCAGGGTGCATCCCCTTCCCTTCCGCTCGTCCTCGTCCTCATCATCACTGTCCCTGGTGGGCCTTGTGTTGCAAGAAAAGAAAGCATAAAGAAATTATTTCAAGAACATTACTGAAAACTAGCATTAGAGTGCTGATGGAGAGAGTACCCACTTAAACAACAGCCCTCCCTTCTGGTTTTTTGGACCACTGATGATTCTCGGCTACCTCCCATGATGAAGGACCATACAAATGGACTTTGCCACTTTTTGCTCTAAGCTGGCACGTCCAAACAACAACTCTGTAAGTGGGCCTTACCAGAGCTCCACACTGTTGCCCAAGACAGACACATGCACAGAATCAAAACTCCCACCCATTTTAAAAGCCTTATTGTACCTGCAGATGTCCAGAGCAAAGCTGGGGATTCCAGGACTGCTGCTCCTCAGGGAAAGACGCTGCATTTTGGGTGTAGGTGCTGCATTCATTTTACAAACCAGCCAGGAAATTTAGCAAACTCAAACCCACCTTTTGTTGGAAACAACTGGGACTCTCCAGCCTTTGATCTGGCTCAGTTCTGTGTCCGAAATGTCGATCTGAAGGGGCAGGCGCGGAACCCAGACCGTGATCTGCAGAGGAGCACTCAGATACTGGTAGGTGAAGTTCACAAGTGCATTCACCTTGCCTTTCATTTCTTTGCCATTGACAAAAACATAGTCACATCTGTCAGAAACCTAAGGGAGGGGACAGAGAGAGAGGGGAAGAAGAAAAGGTAATCACTGCAACAAAACAAGCTCAAAGTGTAACCCCGGCAGCTCAAAACCAAAAACAAACAGAAAAGGCTCCCTTCTCTTTGTGCATGTTAATGATGGCCTTTTACAATGGGAGCAGCTGAACACAAAAATCCTTCATTGGCTCAGGAGGCATAATTATGCTGGAGATGCCTAAAGACTGGGTACTATTTCTGAAGCCGGCGGTTGATTTTCCGTTTGTGAGCAGCGAGCCACGAGCCCATCACAGTGCTGGGGAATTTTTAATGAGCAAGGCTCCTCCACAGCTTTGTCAAGAGGAACCCAACAAACCCAAACAGGTCTCCACAGAGGCAAGAAGTGAATCAAAGCTCTACCCTGATGATGACCTTCATCGGGGGGGTGACGTTGCTTTCAGTCCCCAAGACAAAGGTGGCTCTGCAGTAGATTTCAGCCACTGAAGGGTAACAGAAGTCTACTCATTTCCTCTGCAATAAACATTATCTGTTTATAAATGTTTACATTTTGATTAAAGCTGTAACGTATTTCTAAACACTACAGTAGATTTATCATTAATATGTAAATGCTGTCCTGAAATATAAGCAAGCATTATCATAGTCATGTAAGAGTTATACCAGTAATCACTTCTTTAATCAATGTTGTAATTTACAGACCATTGAGTTTTCTCATTTATTACGTTACTGAGTACTAGTGATAAAATCACTCCTGAATATATAAATCATTAAGAGGGATGCAGATAGTATGAAGTGACTCCATGTGATAAAGTCATTGTCATTTCTATTCCTAAAGGTGTCATAAATGTCTGGGGAAATCCTGTGGCACATTAATCATACATTAAGTGGTGAGCAATGGGAGCTGTTACATTACTAAATGAGCTGGTATGTCTGCAGAAATTAACAGCAAACCCAGCAGATCTCAACTCCTCCTCTTGCTCCCGTCCTGTCAGAATTCTATTTCATCACCCATAATGAGCATTGTTAATGGTGGCAATGCATTTCCCCACCTGAACATATATTTATATTATCATCTGCTCCTTTTTATCCCCACTCCCGTTCCCAATACCATTTTATTCAAATGAAGATTATCAGCTGGAAATGCCTGTGTCCCCAGGATAATCAGACAGATGGATGTCCCCTGGGAGCACAGATGCAGGAGCTAAACTGTTCCCAGTTCAACATACACATCCCATTTGTATCCTCTTTTGGGTTTAGGCACTGCTCATGTTCTGGTAAAATATTTGATGGTGAGATTGCAAAAACAAACTTCAGACAACATAATACAAGCATTTCTATGATGCATTCCCTAAGAGTGTTATTCTGGCAGAGTTACTGTTTCTCTCAGTGAAGCTGCCTGTGTCTCTCCCCCAGAGATGAAGACCCTACAAAGTCTCTTAGACCAGACACCTAATCCCTAGATGGCTGAAGTTAAAGGGAATCACATGTAAATAATATACCACACATGAATGTCACCTATGGCAGAACATCCTCAATGAAGTTCAAGGTACAAGGAAGCCCTGGCTCATACAGACTCGAATTTCCGTCTTCCTCTGTAACCTCAGGAAACTCAATTCCATTCTTTCTGTCCAATTCCCCCCCTGGTGCAAACACCACAACCCAGGGAGCCATGGTCAGCCACAGTCAGAGAACTGCAACTGCACTTGGAGCACAGAACAACTCCTAGAGCCCAATGGGAAGTAGTGAGTGTGCCTGGGGGAGAAGACCCCATGTCTGAAACATTTGACAAAGCAGCTTCAGATAAAGCTCTTGGTTTTCCAGCCTCATCTTCCTTTGAGCAGAAGATTTTGGGAGGACTGTCAGCAAGATCTAATTGAACTCTGCTTGGAGCAGTAGCCACTACTGTCCTGAACCTGGTTCCATCCCATTCCTTTCTGTGGAGTTCAACCCAAAGAGAAAACAAGTGAACTTTCTGTGTCTTACAACTTGCCTATTTGTGCACATTGTAAACCACGTGCATGTGCTGATAAAAGATTTCTGACAACATACTCGGCTTCAGACTGATCAGGTCTGGTCTGGATGTGTGATTTTATATTGTCTAAAACTCAGTGTTGTCAGTAACTGAACAAATCTAACTGTCAGGGAAAAAACACAGTAACAATAGTAGCAAAACTGCAATTCCTAAATGGTTCTGGGCTGAGATCCAATCTCCATCTGTATTTGTAAAGCTGCTCTGTGCCTTCATGGGTATGCAACAAACAAATGGCTAAACAAATACATATACAGCATCCTAAGGAGGTGGCTGCTGCAGCCACCACACAGCCTTTACAATTGCTGCAGGTTAATATTTATTACTGGACATGCACCAGCAACAGTGGGCAGGTCTTTAGGAGCTGCACTGGGAAAAACATTACTCTTTTCACCAAGAACAAGCATTGCTAATGTCCTTACACATGCTCTTTCTTCTGTTCCTGTACTTCTGATAAAGAAGTAGCACCCAGAGTGAAGGAGGAGCAAAGCTTATAGTGTAATGTGTTACTGTATTACTGTACATTTTTTAACTATTTTCAGGAATCCACTCTGGAAGCAACATCAACTGCTTTTGACAGAGAGAGGCAACACTTTCCAACTAGTGCTATAGAGGGGGTGAAAGGGAGAAAGAATCTCAGCATCTAATTCACAAGGTGTGTGTGTGCTCTCCACAGACTAAGGATACTCACTCTCATGAAACATTCAAGTAAAACTATTCTGCACCTTCTATAAGCAACACACCCAGCTACGCTTCACTCTAACAGAAAAAAATGAGAGCAGGAGGGTTTGCTTCCCTTGCCCTTGTCTCACACAGTGTCTCTTAAAAAATAAATAAACAGTATTTCTCAGCCTTGGAGAACAAATCCAGATGTAGTGATTCTGCTACAATTTACAACATCAGCAAGCCCCAGGTAAGGTCTGATTTGCTGAGCAGACGCCCCTCACAAAAAAGGGGTAAGGGTTGTGTGGTGCCACAACAGACCCCCTTTAGCTCAGATTAACTCAGATGGAAATAACATCACAGCCAAGTTGGTTCTGGAGTTATTCAGTGTAGACTTATGGGGTTAAACGAGATGGAAACACAGTACTGGTATGAACAACCTAAAACAGTGAAGCATGGAATCACGGAGGAAGAATAGAAGGGAGACTTCAAAAAAACGGATCACATTAGAACTCAATATCTTCTTAATTAAAAACGTACATTTGTTTAAAATGTTCACAGACAAAAGTATCTTTCTGCTTTCCTCCAGGCTTTTGCCAGTGCTCCTGGAAGGTCAAGGACCAGCTCTCATGTCTGGGTCCTGCCCACTCTAGTCCAAGAGAGTTTCTAATAGAAGCTGGTGACTCTGGGAACAGTGATCTGTATCTCATCTGCTGTAGCATTTATGCTTTTACTATGAAAACATCATCCCTCTGAAAATGCTTTTTATCTTTGGCATCAGAAGAAGTGAGCAATGATGAAGGGAAAGCCTGCTTAGCCACCACCTTTAAGTGATTGGGTTTTTTTCTTTTCTGTGTAGCAGATCAGCAAGAAGTTTTGCATTTTAAAGAGCTCTCTGATGCTATTTCAGCAGTTTCTTTCATTATTAAGCTGCATTCAGCTACTTTTGCCCTTTTTTCTATTTTTCTAACTTCTTTCTCCAGATTAAAATAAAGGAGCAGACAGCAAAAAACAGGGCTAAGCACAATTCCCCAGAGGTTTCTTCTTTGTCTTTCTTTTTTTCTGGCATCATATTTTTGTGCCCCCTTGTAACAAAGGCCGTTGCCTTTCCAGATGACTTGGATAGATTCTCTCTGCAACAAATCACATTTTATTGAGCTGACAGAGAAAACTACTGCCTGGAAATCAAGAGAGAGTCACTCCTGAATCAGTACCTACGGCCCTCGGTGACTTTGTGATCCGGGGAGTGAATGTACCTCTGCACCTGGTAATCAACAGGTTGGCTGAAGTGAATACTAAGGATATTCTGCTACCAGCCAAATGCAGAACCTCTGGATTTTCCTTTACTTATTTCAGATTAAGGTCTTGATCCCACCCCGACCTCTGTATTGCAGAACTGCAAGAAGGGAGCAAGAGCCGCTTGAGGTCACCACAAAGGATGTGACAATGTACTGCCTTGGGCTCTGCAGCCATAAAAGGGGCTGTTGGCACTTCCACAGAATATTGGGTTTGCTGGGTTAAATTCCACTACAGATTCCTGAGAAATCTTCCTTCAATTACTGGGGGAGGCAGATAGTTTTAAAAAAGACAAATGTCACGTCAAATATAAGCTAAGGCTGTCTTTCAAAAGATGGTGAACTCGAAACACTGTCTGTTCTGGTTCGTATCTGTCGCACACAGGAGTGGAAAGAACGACAACTGGAAGACCTAAAAATAAATGAGTGGTACTGCCTCTGAGAGTCTGGTCTGGTCTAAGCTTGTTTATTCTCCCAGTGGTTTTCACCCCTGGAGATATCGGCCCAGTCTCTGAAGGACAGTTCAGAAGGACAAAACGGGAAGTTTTTCATGCAGCAATCCTGTCAAGTTTATGGACACTGAAAAATGGTGAGGCATCAGTCCATTTTCTAGGTAGAAGCCTGTGTGATTTTAATACTGAGCAGAATGAGGAGATATGATAATGGTAGATGTCGTGCTTGTATTCATCAGGTTCAGAATCTAGCATTTTGGTGTGTAAACCCATTTACCCATTTCTGTTATACTAATGTAAATGTTGCTAAAATATTCAAAGGTTACATAAATGTTTAAATATTTATGAAAGCACTTCTGTGAGTAAAGAGATTTTCCCAGTGTCTCTTAAGGAAATCTCAATTTCAGTGTATCTCAGCACAGCACCATCACTCTGACATACCAGAAAGGTAATTGAAGCTCATGGAGGTCAAGCTTTGTGAACAGTCACTCATTCCATCAAGGAATACAGAGGACCAGGATGATTTATCCACCATACATACTGACACATAATCTATAGGAAATATCAGACA